GTATTTAAGCCTCCATGGTGCTATTAAAGAATGGCTTTTGTACCAGTGATTGGAGGTCCTTGTGTTGGTCTGTCTCTGCGTGTGTTTCCTCAATCTCCAGCCCCTTGCCCGAAGCTTGCTAACTGAATTATAGCACATAGAGCACAGATGGGGGACGTGGTGTGCAGCAGGTTGAATAATTTAAATGAAAGAAGATAGTACTGGGTACTTGGGAAATTAAAAAATATATTTATCTAATCACATCGCATGGACGTGTAGCATAGCTGTACACTGAAAGTTATTTCATCTGATGGTGTATACACCCACTTCATATGTCCAGCTCTCCAAGTCCAGCTCTTTAAGGTAAGATAGTAGAAATAGGAACACTTTGGGAAGACAAGGCAGAAATAGGTTCCATACCATGTGTTGGCACAGCAGACCTTGTTTAGGATTCAGCATGCCCTTACCATACACCATGACAGCCTACCCCATAATCTTGGAATTCCTAGCCTCTGGAACTATGCAAAAATATTTGTTTTTACTAACTATGAAGATGATAGTAATTTCTTAGGGTAAACTAAATGTTCTCAGACATCACTTCTCTAATGATAATTTAAACACCATTGGGTTGAAATGATTGACTCTGATCCTTCAAAGTGCAATGTATTGGAGAGAAATGGAAAGGGGCGAGATTCTAGAGAGTTTCCGAATCACCACCAGGACGCTTGAACATTTGAAGAGTCCCAAATGTTTAGGCTGCCTGAGGTATTGTCTAAGTGTATAAAGTCTCTCAAATATTTGTATATATATGTATATATATACATATATATATATATATATATATTACACAGATATTGTTATTGGCTCTCTTAGACACATAAAGTGTCACGCTCTTCTCAAAGGAAACCATTGATTTTTGCGCATAAAATTTACCTATACTCTCTTGATTTAAGTCTGTATTTGTCTTCAAGAGGCAAAACCTAGGCCCCCAGAAGCTAATTATGAGTTTCTTAATTATAGGACAGACAATGGATAAATAGGACAGCTATCATATAGCATAACAACCAACTTACAACTTCTGGTATCCAGACCAGAGAGTAAACAAGAGAAGGCATTAGGGGATGAAAATCTTCTCAAACTCCAGACTCCATGCCAACTGCTTGCCTGAAATTGTCTCCATTCAGAAGCATCTCTTGGGCCATTGTTTTTCTCTTTTCTGACTTTGACTTATTTGATGGTAGAGTTGATGGCTGTCATTTTTCTCTATTTTTACCACATGTGAATAAATGTTGGATAGTTTCATTATGGCCCTAAACCTGGTCAAGAACACAGAATATCTCTGTCCTTAGCCTACTCTATTTTATTAATTCACTGTAGAGGATCAGCGGCAGCAGGGGTGGGGCAGGGATCTCTGAAGGTGATCAAAAAGCAGCCAAAGAAAACTAGATTTGCCTTTTTGTTTTACACATCTATATTTTAGGATTTATGTGAGGAAGAGGGAGTCCAAATGAACTACATCAAAATGTTGATTTGGGGCTGCTGTGTAGCTCAGTGATACTGCAGTTGGCTTGCCAAACAAAACGATGATTTGACATATAACATCAATTACATGGCATCTAAACTATTGGGCATCTGCTGAAAAAAGAAAATGCCCATTGAAAGCATATATGTTTGGGAGATAACCATATGGCTCAAAGGATGAACACCAAATGAATGGACATTTTTTTAAAATGCAGAAAAAATGTTTAAAAATAGGGAAACTAATTTTCTTTTATTTTAAATCATTGATTTTTAGACATAAAATTTACCTCAACTATCTTAATTTGAATCTGTTTTTGTCTTCACATAACAAAATCTAGACCCACAAAATCTAAATCTAATTTCCTTGGGTCTTTCCTGCATTTTTAAAAGAGGATGTGGCTCTTCTTCCCATGATAAAATGTTTAAAATTTTCACACTGACAGGATTGTGTTTAGATTTGAACATCATCAATTTAGAAGACTATAAATAACCTCTTTTGTTCTACAAAATATACAGAATGTCATTCAAGGAAGCACCAATTATATATGACTACGAATTAAAGAGAACTTTAATATTGAATTGAAGACTTCAAAAATCATTAAAAAAGATGGTCGAATTGATAACTCCAAGCAAGTTCTTCATAAATCTCTTTTATAACCTTTCAAATTTTTCACACTGGAAATGTTTTGAATCTTCATCCAAACCTAAATGTTTCTTAATCCTTAGTTGTTGCCACTTGTCTTCTCTCTATGTTTTAGAACAGATTATATAGTTGAACCTTGTCTCTTTGCCTAAACCTTTCCTTTTTTCTCTCCATCCTCTCTGACTTTATCTTGTCATATATCTCTGGTTTATCTGTGAGAAAAGGAGAGAAAAGCGGATTGTGGGAACGCTACATATATGTGAAGGTAAAATCATCTCTCAGTTATGTAGTTATGTGGATTTTGTAACAGAACTAAGAATGGTGATGGTCTTAGGACCATGTTATTGTTGGAGGAGCTACCTAAGGGCTACAAGAATAAAAGACGGGGCGATGAATTCACTTACAGTTAACACAGCCTCTGTCTCCACTTCCTCTAAAACTTAAATAAAATTAGAATTAGGAATTGAGTAGCCATATACACCCAGAGTACAGGAACTGGGTGAAATTAGACCTAACATCACACGATAACTTAAAAATGGAAAATGGATACAGAAGGGTCACTTATCCCCACAGAGTAGATAGTTGCAGCAGAAACATGTCTAAAAACAGTAAGTATTTGAATTGCTGAACCTTTAAATAGCTTGGGGATCAGACATATTGAAGGCAAGGTTTGTAAAAGTAGCTGACCACTGATAATAGAAGCTGAAAGTCTATAAATGGAGCAAATAGACCCCCACATCTTCATTCTCACACAGCAAATCCGATTCAAAGCCCTTTGCCAATTTCTCTGAGACTTGTGAGATAAAAGACTAGTATTGCATTCAGCATGTCTTGATCCTGGTAACCTGATTTGACAGAAAAAAATGACAGACATGCATATGGGCACATGTATAGAAAAGCTGGGATCAGATGAGCCGTGTTGGCCCTGATGGAGCGACACCAGATGCAGAGAAACCTAGAACTTCAGCAAATTATAATGCATGACACGAGAGGGATGGTTTAAACAGTCTTTGTGGAAGATCTCTGTATTGGATCAGTTTCAAGTTGTGTGCAGCTGAACAGAAAGACTGCTGCTTTCTGCACAGTCACAGATTCACCAGTTACCTGACCTGAACTGAAGAAAGCTTTGAGAATGTCTGTGAGTCTGAGGAATTAGTCCCTTGTAATAATACTCATTCAGTCAGGACATCATCTGATTTTTACACTTTGACTCAGGGCTTCTTTGACTCCCCATAAACTATGAATGAATGAGTCTAGTATTGTTATTGAAAAATTAGGTCTTAACATACCTCTTCAACTTGGCTTTCAGAACTGTGACAGCTAGTCTTAAGTATCTGAATTAGGAAAATGGAAGACTCTTCTTGAGACTTTGAACCCGGAAGAAAAATAAATGCAGACACAGACACACACACACACACACACACACAGAGAGAGAGACAGAGAAACAGACACAGACACAAAAACACACAGAGACAGAGAAACATGTACACACAGAGAGAGATGCTCAGACACAGATACATTCATTTCTTCCAGTAAATTACATCTCAGTGTGCTTGGTTTGCTTTGATTTGTTTTGTCTGTGAGCTGTAGTGGGTTTATTAATTGGTAGATCCCACTCATGTACCAGTAGCTTTTTGGGTCTTCTAAATCACAAAGAGGGAACTATTTCCACGAAAGAGGGAAAACAATACAAAGAGAAAAAGGCAACCTGGGAAGAAAGAGTTAGAAAAAATGTAATGCCCTCAAATTAGGAGGCATCCTATTCTCCAAAATAAAATAAGATACTATAAAGAAAACAAAGAAAAAGTTTAAAGCTCTCAAAATTAAAATATAAAATATGTAAATAATAAGAAAATGGTGTATCTTGGAAGTGTATGTAGGCAGACCACCCAGAGGTAGAGAAGAATGAGACAATGATTAAGAAAGAACAGGGAAATCTTCAGCAAAGACAATGATCCTGAATCCCCAGCACTGCAGTCAGACCAGTTTAGCAGGTGAGTAGAGGGCAATGATAACTAGTAATAACTACAAACTTACTTCCAGAGTCTAGATAGAATTTCCAGGCTTCAAGGGCCAGTGTTCTCCACCAATAAATGAGGACAATGTGTCATCATAAAACTTCAGAACAAAATAGACAGAGAATGTCCTCTATGCAGCCGGAGATAGAAGAAAGAGAAAGGATGTGCCAGACACACTGTGATTCCTCAGCATCAATTATGGAGGTGACAATTCAATGCTCTGAAGACATGACACGTTCCACCAAGGGAGACGAGGAAATACTGCCCAGGAAATGTCTTCCAATATCCCAATATACATAGAAACACAGAACATCCCTGCTTGCAAGAGAAATATATTCCCCGCTACCAGTGTGTTTTCCAGAACAACCCATGCAAAGTACTGACTGAGGTAGATGCTCTGGGAGGCGAGTAGCACACATAAACACAACAGCAGCAGACCACAGACCTTGAGCTGTGCATGCCTACAGACTAAGATGAAATTTTTAGTTCTGTGGGAGAATTCAGGCTAGGAGTTTGGTAGAGTCCCGGATCTCATGCAGGCTATGAATCAAGGCAGTTATTGGTGCTATGGAAGACAAAAAAATGGAAATATATTTATGGAGCATCACACTGGTTAGCTCGAAATATTCCTAGAGACGTGGTGTTGAAATAGGGACGGTGGGGCTGCGTCCCCAGCACCCCGCCGCCCGCATGGCTAGCTTATGCCCGAAATAATTACACGGAAACCGTATTCTTTCAAACACTGCCTGGCCTGGCTAGGTCCAGTTTCTTATTGGCTAGCTCTTACATATTGTTCTAACCCATTTCTAATATTCTGTGTAGCCCATGAGTTGGCTTACCAGAGAGGATCTTAACCTGCGTCTGTCTGGAGCGGGAGAATCATGGCGACTCTTCCTCTAATCTTCTTTCTCCCAGAATTCTCTTCTGTATACTCCGCCTACCTAATTTTCTATCCAATAAAATGGGCCAAGGCAGTTTCTTTATTANGAATTCTCTTCTGTATACTCCGCCTACCTAATTTTCTATCCAATAAAATGGGCCAAGGCAGTTTCTTTATTAGTAAGAAATCATTCCCACATCAACGTGGTACAGTGAAAATGATTAGATTTAACTAAAGTTATAATAACCATTCCTTTTTGTGTGGTTGTATAATTGAGGTAGCTGAATTTCACTTTCAGTTTTATAAATTGATGATAATGATGATTTTGTTCACGCAATTTAAAGAACGTTATCAAAATAAACAACTGCAGGGGAGAGAGAGGAGAGTGACAGCTTATCGCTATAACAAAATATCAGACAATTATTATAATGGAGAAAAGAGGTTTCTTTCACTGAGCAGCCTGGAAGTTCAATGACTGCGGGCAGGGATCTCGGTTTGCCTTGGCCTCTGCTGAGGGAAGCAGGTGACAGCATGTCGGGGCAGGAGTACACACATGTGTGCAGCAGTCTACACCTTAGAACAAAGAATAAGAAGCTGGTTTCCTACAGACCCTTAGAATGAACATCACTGTCAGCGCCCAGAGTAGCTGTCAGTGGTCCTCATCTACCAGAAATTCTGTCATATCCCAACAGTGCTGCAATGTTGACCAATCTTGCATCACTGTGAACCTTTGTGGGAAAGATGCTCACACTTCATTTACTCTTTGGCAAAGGGGATGTGGAAGCTATTATTATGCATTGTTGCTACTTTATTATTACTGTTATTTTGACATTATCTGACTTTTTAAATGATAAATTCATATTATCTTCATGAAAAGATCAGCCAGATTTAAGTGCATTTAATATAAAATTATAACTTTTCTGCTGCCTTTCCCATTTCCCATAGGAAAATTACTTCTTTTACTGTTGTTTTGTTGGTTCGTGTGTGTATTTGCTGGATTTTCTTTTCCTTGTAAGGAAGCAAATGCAGATAAATGATACCAAATATCTTATACAAAGCAGCGAATCTTCCACATTGATTTTCATTTCCCTCTTAAAGACGCTAGGAAATATGCTAGCAGTTTAAATATCTGAAAATGTCTTGTTGAAAAGAAGTGCAATTTGGACTGGGGATCCAAATGATAAATACAAGAAGGCAACGGTTCAAGGAGTCATCTCTAGCACCATCGAAAGAAAAAGAAGGCTGTCCAAGGGCACAGGGACTAGTGAGTGCTCCTCCACAGAGTCCCTGGAGCACAAGCAGAGGCCACAGATCAAGGAGAAATGTGGAGATGATGTGGACACAGTTGGAAATGTAAGCATTGTGTCATATCCTCAGGGACAAACGCTGTATTTAATGGGCAAGATGTATACCTAAGCATGGAAACTGTAAGCACTAAGGAAAGTGGGAAAAGGAGAATTAGAGAATCTGAACCAAACCCTGCCCTACATTTAACACACCGGTATAGGGAAACAGGAGCACTGAGAATAAAGAGAACCACTCTAAAAGCAGAGTGGTTCTCTGGGGTAAGGTACTAGAGGAGGGTTCATTTTATCATAAACATAGGACTTTCCTTGTCTCGCCCATGTGGATCCTCTCTTACACACACTCTCGCCCCATTGTTTTCTTTTTCTCCTTTTAAAAACCCTCTGAACTTGTCTCAAACAGGATCCATTTTGATAGGGGAAACACACACACACACACAAAGGACAAGGAAAGAGAAGCTCAGGTGGGAATTTCCTTTGAACCTTGCCAAACCTTGCTGCTTTTGTCCTTAGCCTTTAACTCAGAAATGAAAGGAACAGCCACCACACCAGTACAGAGACCAACCCCAAACCACCCCCATTTCCTGTAGCCATGACATCTCCCTGTCTTCTGCTTTGCCTTTATCCCTTTTGTACTGACCTCTTTCTCCTCACCTGCTACCTCCATACACACACACACACACACACACACACACACATATACACATACACTCACGCATGCACGCACACAGCCCAGGAGGCCTTTTGAACTGAATAGAAACATGGTTTCAAGCCCTTACGTGAGGGGATGCAGCAATTGCCTTTTGCAATTCACAGACAATTTACCCATTCTCACTCAAGTGACAGCTCTGACTTGGACCAAGATCTCTTTGCTGTAACCATACTCAATTCCACATTCTCTCTCACTATTTCTCCCATTTTCTGCTTCTTGACACTCACTTACTGAGGCTATTCGTGTTTCCCTCCCCATTCTGGGAAGCCAACTAACACTCCCATGTGTTAGATTCCCAGACTAGAATGCTTTTTATTCCACGACATCATTTACACTCCTAGCAAAGCACTTAACAGGTTGTAAGATAATTGTGTTGCCGTGAGTTTACCTTTTCTATTTGTTTCTCAGATAAAACTTTCCACTCCTTTTGGGTATTGACAGTACATAGGTCTTTGTGGCTTATAGCAGGACCCCAATAGATGCTATCTGAATGAACAAAATACGTAAATCAAGGAAAATGTTCGTTTTATTGTTTTATTGTTTGCCTTTTCCAGCAAAAGATGTCTGTAGACATCTTGCACATCTGGACAATTAAAACACATATTCCTTAAGAGGCGAAGAAATAGTCTCCTTTTCTGTTCAAGAAAAAGCACATTGAAAAAAATCCATCTACAGTACGAGACTACGTTTATATCTTCAGGGACATTCTCTTGTCTTTTTATATTACGGTAGTGAACAAGATTTAAACCAAGAAGTCAGTGTGATGATGTTGCCAGACAGGTAATAAAGAGGAAGATTATAAGGCTGCATCAAATGGCAGGTACCTCAGCAGACACCACATTTTAGACATTAAACACAAAACAAAGCCATACTGTTTCCCGGTGACCACCAGAAGCGCTTGATGTCGGTTTTAGCAGTGTGAGGCCACTTTGACTGTGGCATTCATCTTACCTGGCATCACAGTTGGAAAACAACATAGAGAAAAAAATAAAGCAAGCATCACTAGGTAAGAGCTCAGACCAGACAAAACACCTGAAACAAAACCAGACATTTATAAAAACAGAACGAAAAATCATTTTCTGTCAATTTCTTGCAATATGCGCTTCTCACTCCTAGAACAGGTTGTTATGTCTACTCAAACAAAACACCTCAAAATGTTATCTGCCGATATTCTACATTCAAGGACTCGCTTAATAGGACGGACTCCTGCGGAGCTTAGATTTATGAGCATTTTAAGATATAAAGGAAACAAATCAGGGTGATGTTTCTCTTGGTAATCTTTATGACCCCTGGGAGTCACAGTCAGCTTCCCAAAGAGCAAATAAAAAGATGCCTCATATTTTCTGCATAATGAATGCAATTACAATAGACATGTCCATGTGTAAGCCTTGATTACTGAAAATGTACCTTCAGAACCATCTCCTATTTGGTGCCACATCAACAAAGAAGACAAGTTAGCATGGTTTAGAAGCCAAAGAGAGGTTATACAGTATAAAGGGGTCTGTGTCTAGGACAGAAATATTTCTTGAGCGTCTACTAGATGCCAGCCATCATGCTGAGTCACTTACAAAACCTATCTCATTATATATGTAATATATATTAATCTAGTATATATAATACAAGATTATAACATCTACCAGTACGTGCAACGTAAGAAAGCATTGTGGCTAAATCAATCCTCTATGCAAGAAGCACAGATTAAGGCATTAATGTCCATGCAAGTTTATAGCTAAGAATTTCAAATACATACATATCATGTAACAGGGAACACACTTGGAATTTTAAATGCTTTCTAGGAGAGGCATCCGAGTTTACAAAAGTTGCAGAAATCATTACCTTACTAGGTATTAAATATCATCTCCAATATTTTAGCCACCTGTTCTTTATTATCTCTTCAATTACTTAAATATGTTCATTTGATTCAAAGCCAGACAAAACTCCTTGTCTACTTCAAGGACACCCACCGAATAGAAAACAGAAACCTGAGCAGGTAAGATCAGATAGAGTGGTATAAACCATTTTGATGTAACAGAATTTCTGTTCAAATGAGTATGCGCAAATAGTCTGGTCTAACTAGCTCATGCCACCGGTGCCACTTATTAATGCCCATTTGAAGAAGGCCAAATAATGTCCAAAGAAATCTAGTTTTCTGTTAGCTAATACAGTTACTATCTGCATGCCTGGTACTGCCGGCCAAAGAAAACAGATACCTATTGGACCAATGCAATTGGAACCACATACCAGGAGAGGGCTGGTCTGCCACCTCCACGGCAATTCTGATGTTTCTTCGAACTTTTCTCCAACCCTCCTTTTTTTTTTTCTTTTCCAATGCTTTGCAACATGACTGCTGCTTCTGTGGTCTATGATTATTTTACTCACTTCTGGGCTGAGAGTCAGTGGAAAGGAAGCAGTGGGGATAAGCGATCTGGATTGGAGTCCCAGTTCTTCTATTATTGTGTGTGCCTTTGGACAAGTTGCTTAAAATTACTGAACTTAAGTTTCCTCATGCATAAAATGAGGGGTTCATCCTAAGGGCTTCATGAATATTAAGGAGGGTAATCTGTTTACTATGCTTGACCTGTCGTGGAGACTCAATTGGGGTTATTACCGTAACCACATAATTATACTGGCTTAGAACAAGACATGTGAAGGGAGATGCTAAATTCAACACTCTGACCATGGTCATAAACAGTTCCCTGGAGCTCATATTTGGAAAATGAAAATGCTGCAGACACCTCATCTTTTGCTCCAATGCTAGAAATATTAGAACCAAATTAATGTTGTCAGAATTTTCCAAAGACTTGTTTTTACCTTAATTATGGCATCAGAGTACAGTTTAAAGACAAGTCACTTTTCAAACAGGCTAGCTTCTGCTGTTCCATTTCTTGGTCTTTCTTATTGCTCACCTATAATTATATAATTTTGACTTGTGTTTAAATGTCTAGATTTATTCAACTCTTTCTGATGCAAAGCAATGCAATCATTA